ATAGTTTATGAATGGCTTGCAGAAAGAGCAATTTAACAAAAAAGTAGCAATTTTTGAGAGGGTCTAGGTACTAAATAAATTTATGACAAAGCTGTAATTTTTTCCACAGATTTTTTAATTTCACTCGATTCACCAAGCATGAAGCAGCATAATGCTAGACTAAAAATTTTCTAGAAATATTTTTTATCGCTAACAACGTTTGCCCCGGGTCAGCTAGTATATATATAATATATATATATATACATATATGTGTGTGTGTGTGTGTGTTAATATATTAATGTATATTATTAAAGCAAATATTATTAGCAAGTTGCTGATTAAAATGTGCTGTAGTGTTGATGAAAATTCTGATGTTTTAACATTTAATTACGTATTTTATGTAATAGAAAACGTTGATTGTACGAAAAATCTAGTGGTGTATGGAATCATGCCTTAAGGCAAATTGCTGGAACTTCCGATATCGTTATGGAACATTCGAGGAAAATTAAATATTTCAAACAGATTCCTAAAATACTGTAACTTATATATGTTTACAGAAAAGTAAATAAACAAAACTCAATCAAATTTAATATGAAGAACATTGTCTAATATTTATTAGAATTATATAATTAAATTAAAAAAGTTCAAATTATTTATTTCAAGTATATAAGTAAGCTTTAGAGCTTTAGCAAAAATTCAAATTAAAATTCGAATTATTTTCGATATAAGAAAGGTTTTCGAATTTGCAATCCAGTTATAGATTTTTGAAATTCTATAATCAAATATGTAGCAATCCAAACATTTATGTACTCATTCAAGTATTTATATAAAATATTTTTCTATTATTAATTATTGAGTCTTATGAGCTATTGTGCTCACTTCTTACGACATTGCTCTTTTTATAGATCAGAGGGCACCCAAACGGTTGTCCTCTCTATTACATAATTTTTATTTTGTATTATTATTTCTGTAATAATGATGATTTTTTTTCAATTTAGTCGTTGCTCTCTTCATTCGAAAACATATTGCCATCTATATTTTCAAGTAATTAGGCTGTCCGAGGCGGGTATCGAACCTGGAACCTCTGAAAAAAAATTACATGTAAATCAGTGGATAACTGTACTTCTAATTCCTCTTGTGCTCTATATTTTTGGAAATATATAATTTTATTTCCGTTGATTTGACCACGTTTGATCGATATAATATTTTGCATGTGCTTGATAACGTAATTTGTTGACGAATTAATTATAAAAATCATTATAAATGAATTCAATATTCTTTTCATATTTGATTTTGTTAAATAAAAATATTGCTTTTTGTTAAGCAAGATTATTTAACCTAGGGGCACGAATATGTTTTTAACATATATAATTAGAGAAAGTTAGTTAACATAATTAGAACGTGCTCTACAAAGAATGTTTTTATATATAATATTATTATTATTAAAATTACGTTTGTTTTGTCATTTCACTTTTGTCATTTTCTCTTCCACTAAAAATACGTCAATTTCAACACAATATTTTTTTTGTCAATATTATATCAATATTTCTCTATGGTATAGAAAATAAATATTTTGAGCACTTTAAAATAGCTTTCCATATAATTATTATAATTATCTTAATGTTTCTGTACTATTTCCAATATTACCATATAATCATTGCATAATAAATGTCAGAAAATGAATAAAAATCAATAAGTTATAAACATCAATAATGAAAAACTAATTATGATGTTAGATAAGACGCAATAAATTTATTGCATTTTTTCGTTTAAAATCCATCCTTGATACAGCCGCGTTTTCTGATAAGATAACTTGTTTTACGTAACATTGAGATCATAAAAATATTAGGAAAGTTGGAATAATTAAACATGAAACTGAACAGAAATGTAAATAAATCAGCTAAATAATTCTTATTATTTTTATTTGAATTACAATCTGTCTCTTATTATACTATGACATTCAGTAATTATTTTGTTAATTTAACAGAAGGCTATTAGAAGGCAGTAGTAGTTGCCCTTGCTAGTTGCGATTTGTTTTTATACATAACTAGTAACTTTGACTTAATTATTTTTTCGGCAATGCCCATGAAGGCAATTTTTTATCTCAAGTAAATCGGAAGTAAAATTTTGATATCACTACTGCTTGATATCAAGATGGCCAAGGTCGGTATCGCACTCGAAACCAGTGATAGATTTTAAACGAAATTTGAATGTTATTTTTTGGTTTGGGAAAATAAAAAAACTACTGGTGCAAAGGCAAATATTGCTAGTACTTCCTGTACAAGAAATTATTTTTTTTTTAATTTTGAAAAAAATCTATTTTTGAGAACTTGTACATTTTTGACAAAAATTGATTTTTTTGGAAAAAAGACTTTTGAAATATCGAAGCGCGTAAGCGCCGTGTCGCCGTCTAACGGACAAACGATATTACGGAACCCATAGAAATATAAACAAAATTTATACATATTATTAAAATCTCTATAAAATATCTGATTATTTGATATGCTTATGTCTAATGATCATTTTACCGCCAAAAGGCATTTTTTCACGTTTTTTACTAGATCTCTGAAACTGCTAGACCTGCTTTCCCAAGTCAGTTCTTTATCTTGTCAATACAAAAAATGTTTTTTGAATTTTAAAATCGGACGCCCCGTTCCCTTAAAAACTGGGTTACGGTTTTTGGCACTTTTTGCCCGTATTTTCGAAATGGCTAAACCAGTCTTTACCAAAAACTAATCATCACATCTCCTTATCAATAAGAATCGAATGTTTTTTGAATAATTGAAATCTGTTGAACCGTGTTCCCGAAATCGTCGACGAAAATTTGTATCCGCACACACATATAAAATTTTTTAGCACGTTTTCAAACGTGCTGATTAGTTTTTGGCAAAGGCAAGTTTAACCCTTTCGAATGTACGGGGCAAAAAGTGCCAAAAATGGCTTTTGAGAGAACAGAACATCCGATTTGAATGATTCAAAAAACATTTTATTTATATTGACGAAATGAAAAAGTGGTTAAATTTTTGGTAAAGCAGGTTCAGCGATTTCGGAAACTCAATAAAAAAGTAAGAAAAAGCCATATGACGGTTAAAAATGATTATTAAACATATGCATATCAAATTATTAGATATTTCGAATTTGGTTTGTATTTGTATGGGTTCCGTACCAATGTTTATCCGCTAGACTATTACGCGACGCTTACGCGCTTAGATATGTTCTCTCTAAAACAGTCACGCAGCGCGATTGCTTTGAAAAAAGTTGAATTTTAAAAACAAATCAAAATTCAGAATATAAAAAAAAACAAATCTTTCAAAAAAGTCAATTTTTTCAAAAAATTTGAAATTTTCAAAATCTAATTTTTCAAAGTTTTCAAAAAAAAAATTCAAAAAATTTTTTTTAAAAAAATAATTTTTGGTACTGGAAGTTCCAACAATTTGCTTCGAGGCACATCGTCATGCACCGCTAGTTTGACAATGATATAATGCCGAAAATATAATTTATTATTGCAATTTACTCTTAATTAATTATTATTGGAGTCTTATTTGAATCAACTTTAATTCTAGTAAGACTCCAGAAAATTCTCACGTATTTCTTTTCATTTACCGCGCTCGAGAGAAAGATGGCAGCACCATCTTCTTTGCCAGCTGTTGATTGTATAGGAAAATGCGTGGAAAATGACATATGATTCAAGATGGCTAAATAATTTTTTTCAAATTAGTGTAGGTACAATTTCAAAATTTCCAATGCAGAAACAAATAAAATTGTGAGTTCACAAATTCATTTTATGTTTCATGAACTATCACTATGTTTTGATGTTCATCACTGGATCCCTTTTTTTTTAATCCTTTCTCGTAACAATATAGATAAGAAACCATCTGTCAGAGTTAAAAATATAATTAATTTATATGTGGAAACGGTTTCATTTGCAGTATTTAGAAACATGGTGGACAATAATATAAAGAGCTGGACAATAAATATTATCTTGATAGTCTTTTTTACATATATAAGTTGTGATAATGTAAATAATGGAGATATTTTGGAAAGATGCCCGCGGATTTATCCGCGAGTTTTCAATGGATTTGCGCCCATCGGTAAATATGAGATTAATTAAATGACAGTGTGTATTTCGTTTCAAATTAATATCTTTGGTAGATATTATTTCAAAATATTTAAATTAGTTTAGGTTATGAACTTCATTTCTTGTCTGTTGAATTTTGAAATGATTATTCTATTTATTATTAACTTCTTACATTAAAGAGCAAATACTAAAAACAAGTATAATATTCTAAAATTTTGCAATTTCTATAAATTGCAGAGTTAATATAGATATTGGTAAATTCTATGTTATAGGTTTATTTTTTCACAATTTATATAAAAAATGTATATGTTATTATTTAATTATATGTGCAAAAATGTATATCATAAATTATATAAATTATTTTCATAAATTGCGCTAAATATAAGTTTAAATTTTTTGAGTTTGCAATTATTAATTTGTATGATTTAATATAAATAAGTCAATTATATATGTGTTTTAATAGGGCTCTACTTATTTATTGTTATACATATTCTTTCTAATGTTTTTGTAATTTTTATATTCAGATATTGATTTATTATTTCTAAATTCAGGAAATTATAGTGCTGGGAATTTTTCTGAATATAAGCCTTCAAAAGACATAGATCAATGTGTAGCTTCTTGTTGTCTAGCCGATAAGTGCCATGTAGCTCTACAACACAATACAACTTGTTATCATATATCATGTGCAACAAATCAACTTTGTTTGCCTTTATACAGAGAATCACAAGCATCAATTACAAAAATGGTTTTGGTTAATACTATATCTGATGATGGTATGTATAAAATTATAGTAGAAATATAACTATCTATAATCATATTTTAAATAATCATTATATTATTTAATAAATCTGTTTTGCCTTTCAACACACAAACATTCTTCACTTTTGCAATAGGTTAAATAAATCGTATATAATTCATTTGGTTATTGTTGTAGATTATACATGGAAAAAGATAATAGCAGAATCAAATTTAAATGATAACATAGAACTGGTTGATCACTACAGTGATGATGAGCTTGACAACACTGATCATCAAAATAGATACAGAAATAAATTTAAATATTCATACAATGATGAAATACTAAATCCTTACATTTCTAAACCTTCAGATAGATACTTTGATAATTTACAATATACTCGTTTTGATGAACAATATCCTAGTGATGATATGATTATGGAAGGTTCGATGTTGTCTAAAGTAACTGTAAAACCTTGTGAAGTAGGAATTGTAGTAGATTGTCCTAGGAATGAAGATTGTTATCCCATTCAACCAAAATCTAGATCAGGTATCTGTAATTGCATTAATGGTTATGTGAGGCGAGATTCTGGAGTATGCGAAATTGATAATGATAGAGTTTCTACAAGCAATGAAATAAAAACAATTTCAACAAATTTGCAGATGACTAATAGCAATAATAACTCAATAGCTCCAAATACACCTTCTACAACATCAAAGGTATTTGTTAATTTGATGTTATGTTGTACATACTTAAGCCTGCAAATTATTTAACAGTTTATTTAAAATTTATGTTTATATAATTTGAATGTATTATATAGAACTTGGCTCATGTTTAAATAAAATATTACAGCCAGAATTAGCACAGAAGACCTTGAAAGTTTCTGTGATGAACAAAGAAGTACGTCTTCCTGAAAATGAAGTTACGCTCTCTGCTTATACTATTCCGAATGTGAATTCAGACAAAACATATGAATTTACTTGGACTTTAGTTTCTCAACCTGAAAGAGGAAATATTGGTACTATGACAGAACAGACTGGTGGGACAATTAAACTTTCTCAATTGACCGAAGGACTATATAGATTTAAAGTGAGACGAAATTTGAATTGTTTTAAACTATTTTTAATTATTTATTAATGTATTTATATTATAAATTTTATAGGTGTCTGTAAAAGGAGATGGTGCTTATGGAGAAGCATTTGCAAATGTTACTGTTTTACCAAAGAACAGAATAAATAAAGCACCTATAGTAATAATTACCCCAACTAGTCAAACTGTAAAACTTCCAAATACTGGTGCAGTTTTGGATGGAAGCACCAGCTTTGTATGTATTTAAACTTTTGCATAAATTTAGTAAACTACAAAAAATAAACTCTACTTTAATTATTTAGAACCTAAATTACTTATTACTTTCATATTTGGTTTCAATTATTTGTCAATGCGTATTTTTTTTAGGATGATGATGGTATTGTACGTTGGCATTGGGAGCTCCAACAAGGTCCATTAGGTTACCAACCCAATTTACCCGAAACCCCAACTTTACAATTATCAGATTTAACATTACCAGGAAATTACACTTTTAAATTAACTGTAGAAGATACGGATCATGTTCTAAATTCTACAACTGGTAACATTACTGTAATTAAAGGAATTGATTACCCTCCAAGTGCAATTGCTGGTGAAGATGTTATAATATATTTACCACACAATAATTTAACTTTGAATGGAAATTTAAGTACAGATGACAGGTATAATAAAATTTATAATATATAACGGAAAAATTCAATATTTGTTTTATTTACTACAATACTTTTTTGGCTTGCAGGGAAATTGTTACTTGGCAGTGGACTAAAGCCAGCTCTGATCAGTCTAAAGCTGTTGACATGCAGGATACCAGAACACCTTATTTGAAGTTATCAAACTTAGAAGAAGGAATGTATACTTTTGTTCTCAAAGTAACTGACTCTAGTGATCAATCTAGTGAAGCTGAAGTACACGTTTTTGTGAAACCACCAAGTAATAAACCGCCAGAGGCAAATGCTGGAAATGATCAGGTATATTTAAGTTTACTTTATTAGTACATGCATATATAATACATTTTAAAATTTTTAGTCAGTTATCCTTCCACAAACATGGAGTGTACTCAATGGAACTTTATCAAAAGATGATGATAAAATTGTACGTTATGAATGGTCCCAAGTTTCTGGCCCTTCTAACAGCATTATTTTAAAAAATAATGAATCATTGGCCAATGCCACTAGTTTAACAATTGGTACATATATTATGCAACTAACTGTGACTGACAATAGTGGTAATAAAGCGAGTGATACAATGACAGTAACAGTTTTACAAAGTATGCTTTAAATTTATGTATTAATAATTTTTTGTAAGAAACAATATTGATATTGTTATATATTTTTAGCTCAAAATAGTAGACCTGTGGCAAATGCTGGTGGAGACCAGAGTTTAACACTGCCCTTGAATTATCTAATTTTAAATGGTTCTAATTCACATGATGATTTGAAAATTACTAATTGGACTTGGAGTAGAGACGGTGCGTCTCTTGCTGCTGGAAGAATTTTAGAAGGGATGAACAGCTCCATTCTTAAGGTAAAATATTTCAAATTGTAAGTTAGAAAAACTTGTATTTAATATCTTCATTTATCAACTGACTACCATTTTATTCAATAAAATCTTAATATTTTTATTTTTATTCTTTGTGCATTGCTAATTTTAATAGAACAACTCAAGAAAAAAATTTGATAAGATAATAAAATAAAAATAGAAAATTTAACTGTAAATCTTATTGTTATCATTATTTAATTTTAAAATTGGTTCACTATAGTAGTGTGATTACAATTCATATATTTTATGATTGCAGTTAACTGACTTAGTGGCTGGGAGATATGTATTCAAGCTAAAGGTCACAGATGCGCAAGGTTTATCAAGTGAAGATGCAGTTAGTGTTATAATACATCCCGATCCTCTAAGCTTACATTTAGTGCAACTGACCCTAAATGCTGACGCTGGAATGCTTACTGAATCACAGGTAACTAATATGGGTTTGCTAAGAGTACATATTTTTCAGTTATCTAATGTAATTTAATTTTTAATAACTTAAGGTGAAAGCATTTGAACAAAAACTTCAACTATTACTTGGAGTGGACACCAGTCTCCATATCCGAGATCTTACACAAGAATTGCATACAGGACGAACTATCTTGCTATTTTATGTTGAAAAAAATGATGTAAGTACCATTGCATTAGAATATATCGACTGTTACGTTGTGATATATAATGGAATGTCTGTGGCATTCCCTGCGCATTCCAATTTATTTAATTATAATAGAGAGTTTTTGTAAATCAAAGTTTACTGATTTTGCAAATCATACCTGTCATCACATTTTTCCATAAAGTTCATATATTAACTATCAGTTGTACTACAATGGATATTTATTGTAAATGATGATGTAATTTGAGTTCATAGTTTTTGGTAATATTACTATTTTAACATTACAAACATTACAAGTAACTGTCATATTAACATTCTATTTAATAATAACAAATGGTATAATTTATTGTGTGAGAGGATCATAAATCAATGATTTTTTTTCCCTCCTTTGTTTATTATTTCCTTTACCATTTTTTACGATTAATCACTTTTTATTTACTTTTATGCATTTTCCTTTCAAAACTTCTACTTCCTTACTTCCTGGTGCTGTGCTTTGTTTTTCAGTTTCCTGTATGTTTTATCCTCGCATGAGTCATCAGTCATCTGTATTCTACATCCCAATCCTTTCAGTCCTTCTATTTTACCTGAGACGACGTCATGTAGGAGGCACTCTTTTGCAGAAAGAGTCTGATCCAGGTTCGTTTTCTTTTAATGATCATGCTCTTTAGAATTTTATCTTCGCCAACTCTTCTCAGCACTTTGTTATCTTATCAGTTTATTTTATATTCTATTTTTGCCTCCAGCACCACATTTCAAAATTTGCCAGATAGTTTTTGTTGGTCTTTCTTAAAGTTCATGCCTCTAATAATATTTCATAATTATAAATTCATAGTTATTTACGGCACCTGAATATTTTTTTTATAATTTTTCTCTCATTTTTATCTTTCAGACGGTAACTCGCAAATCATCAATAATGCCTGGCCCTGCAGTTGTGGCTATGCTGAAGAATCGTTTTAGACAAGACACTGGTCTGTTAGAGATATCAGTGATTCAGATTCGTACCTTGATATGCCAAAATTCTTGCTCCGGGCACGGAGTTTGTGATCCAGACACCAGAACCTGCTTATGTGAAGCATTTTGGATGGAAGATTATTTTGCTAAATATTTTAGAGGAAGCGAAAGCAATTGCGGTAAATATAGTGAAATATTTTCTAATAGTAACTTAATAATAACAAACATGAGTATATATATTATTATTTTAACTGTTAAATTTATTTCAGATTGGTCCATACTGTATGTTGTTCTTAGCATATTTATAGTTACAGTTTGTGTGGTTGGAGGTCTAGCCTGTCTTTGCCATAAACTATGTTTGAGTAGACCAGGCGCTAACAAAAAATATAAACTGATAGGTGATAAGGATGAAACGCCAAATTGTGAGTTTTTACTAATGTTTTATTATTGTTTTTCGATATCTTCAATCTGATATATTCAAAAATCTCTCGTAATATGATAGATTATAAATTTTTACATTCAAACTTATATTTATAAATTTTTTAAACATTACATTCAAACTTTTATTATAACTTTTTTGTTATTGACATGTCTAACCTTATAACCAATTGTAAATTTTTACAAGAATTTTTTCTTTTTTGAAATCTTTAAACCAATATATACAAAAATCTCTTGTATTGTGTTAATTTATAAATTTCTACATTCAATACAAATATAATTATTTGTTAGACTATAATTGACATGCATGTTTTTAAATAGTTTGTGCACCCAAATTTGCTACTTTGCTATTTTTCCAATTTGATACTTATTATTATGAGCAATACTGAACAACATTGTTGCCTGGGATTTTTTTTTTTTTAATAGTAAGTCGGAAGAGCAGAAAATACGATTTGCTAATTTAACGTTTTCTTGACCCAATTAGTTTGACTTCAATAGTGGAAAAAGTATATGTGTATTGTTGTGAAATTTTGTATGCAAAGCGGTTTTTGTGTGTTCAAGCTGCACTGATTTGATCAATTTGATGACACTGGATTAAGATTTTTCTCATTGGTTACTTTTGCGCGATGATCGGCCGGGCCGTTTCTTATTATTGGTCGTCGTGATTGGTTTTATCTATTATGTTCACATAAATGCAAAAGTCAACGTTTTTACCAACAATCCTGAACTGATTTTGTAAACCCATAAACTTTTTACCAGATATCAGTTGAGAAACTTTCTGATTGATTTCTGATATTTTTTCAATACTTGAAAAATATTGTTTTGACGATTTTAATAAAACATTGCACACTGATCGAGTTTATGGTTATCCTGAAATAATATAGAACTACAAAAAATGCTTAGGACATACACTATGTAAGTCTTAATTTGGCAAATCTATACCCAAGTGATATTCATGCATGTGATAAATGCAATTATTACAATTGCAGATAATGTAAATTTGTTTGAAAGATATCAAGGGAAATACACACTTTGATTAGTGAAAATCGAAAATTTTATTTTCGAAACAAACGGTTGAAGATTATATAGGCTATTTTTATTGCATATTGAGAAGTTCATGCAACGTGCTTTATCATCATTAATTGCATCAAACGGTTTTTGTCTTCACGTTGGTCATAGTTACTCCTCAATTCAATCATTAATTCAAAACTTCAAATTAGCATTGAGACTATTTCTGTAAATTTTACCAGATGTTTTTATGTGTAGCAATAAAAATATTTATGAACCTTTATTTAACTTCCCGTAGGGTACGTTATAGTAATCGAAAAAATCGAAAATGAAAATATTTATATATCTTTACGTTTTAAAGGTTTCTGAATATTTTGGAATACTTAAGAAAAAATGAATGTATTTGTGTGTGTTTGTGTGCGTGTGTGAGTGTGTATGTATGTGTGCGGATACAAATTTTCGTCGACGATTTCGGGAACACCGATCAACCGATTTGAATAATTCAAAAAACATTCGATTCGTATTGATAAGATGACGTGCTGATTAGTTTTTTGCGAAGGCAAATCTAGCTGTTCCGAAGATACGGAGCAAAAAGTGCCAAAAACTGTAACTCATTTTTAAGAGAACGGAGCGTCCGATTTTAATAATTCAAAAAACATTTTACTTCTATAGACAAGATGAAGAACTGAATAAAATTTTGGGAAGGCAGGTCTAGCGGTTATGGACTTTCAATAAAAATAAGTTAAAAATGTCATTTTGCGGTCAAAAATGTTAATTGGACATATGTACATCAAATTATCAGATATTTTATAGAGATTTTATATGTGTACACATTTTGTGTAATTTTTTTTGAGTTCCGTACCAAGATCTTTAATTACGGTGCGGGAAGTTCCAGCAATTTGGCTTAAGGCACGATGCCATGCACCCAACTAGTTTTTTTTATCTTTATTTACAATTTATAACCTTTATTTATAATCCTTTATATACATAAAATTAAAATTATAATTCAACAGTCTCAAGAATGATATCGCAATCGGATAGTGACACCGAGTCAGATGTTTTGTTCGAAAGTCGAACGAAAAACGGACGTTTGAGCAATGGTGATACTAGCAGAAATGGAAATCAAAAAAATGGATTCATTAAAATGGGCAGAAGAATCAAAACTTGAAGTGCAGAGCATTGAAAAAAGAGATGTCAGCTGGTGCAGAGACTGTTTCCACTTTTGAATCAGTTAAGTACATATTGAGAAGTTTTTCGTGCATTCAGTTTGTGAGGAAGTCAAATTGGAAAATATTAATGATTTTCTTACAATTTAACCAAATTCACGAAATCTGATAACAAGTTCAGCAAAATGTTCCGTCTCGAAAACTGTTCAAAATTTAGCCATGATGCTAGAAGTAGTTTGCAAGGTAATCTTTATCTAAATTTTACTTAAATCAAAATTATTAGTAATATAAATGAAGTTTATGATATGATACATCATATTATATTATAAATTTTATTAATTACTGTATGAAAATATTAATTTATTAACTTTATTGATTTCTAAAACAAATTTAATATATGCGATTTATTTTAGTGATTATTACTTTTAGGGTTATTTTACAACAACAAAACTGTTTCTAGATAAATAAATATTAATATATGCATGTAGGGTGTTCCAGAACTCAAAGTCAAGCCGAAACGGGATGATAGTAATGATTGAACTATTGAAAAAAAAGCCGTCAGTATTGAAAAAAATAGAAAAAAAATCTTCGCATGCAGTTTGAAAATTGTGGTATTTGAATTGATTGTGATTGAAATGCATTAGAAATTTTTGTGCTATTCTGAGGTTTCAACTGTTTTGCTTGTATTTTTCAGTATGCAAATAACAAGTACAATTTTGGAATACTTATTAAATGCGCGAACTTTTAATGGAACTTTCCTAGACATATTATTATATTAGTACACCATTTTTAAAGGATTGCCCTCAAAGTCGATTAACTTTCAACATTATAAATTCATATTTTAACAAATTCTGGGACAATTGTGTCATGATTATAGACTGTAGTCTTAGAAATGTTATTTATGGTTATGGTTTTCATGTTTGCATGATCAAAAATAATAAAAATATTAATAAATTATCGAAAATGGTTACAGTTTGACTTAAGCTCAGTTTTAGGTTTTAGGTTTTACTTAATTGCATATAATTTTCAAATTGCATATGATAGATTTTTTTCTGTGTTTCACATGACTGGTTCTGAGACACTTGTATATGTGTATATATATACAGATATTATAAATGAAATCATTGGACACATATTTCAGAACTTTGAGAAACAAATTTTTTACGTAAATATTCGTGATTGAAATATGGATAATTCGCTCAATTTTCATAAACTTTCTCTGCGTTAAATTATTTATCCCAGTTGTGATGATCAGTTCCGTATTGGTTTCTTTTATTATACTTATTTTGGAGTCAATTTTAAAGTAATTAAAAAAAAAGTTTTTTGCAATTTGTTCAACAATAAGAACAATTAATTGTTTACCTACCCTCCCCCAACTTGAATTCATTGAAAAACAAAAAATTTGTCTTTCTCTACTACAAAATTAATTTTGTACAATGAGTTGGAGTCTCTGTTGCATCTAACTTAAAAATCCCTCGACTTTCAAATATTGTTGTTAAAAAATTCCGAACTTTACTTGTTTTAAAACCTGCAAATTGCAAAAAAACAAATTAATTTAAAGTTGAGTTGATTAAGTTAAAAGAGTGCGCGTAAGGTTCACACGCGATTGAAGTAAAACTGTTTTGCTATTGTAAGACATTGCATTTAAGTTCAAAATAAATATACCATATAACAATTTTGAATAATGTTTCTTAGTAATATGGAAACACTCACTATGCACACATTTTTTAATGTCAGACATTATACATATTTATATAATAATAAATTATAAATTATTATAATATACTTATAATTCGCATACAATCAAAGAACACTCCCACGCAACACGACGACCTATCACAGTCGGCCCGTATAGAAATGATATCATCGAGAGCGAATGATGAATCATTGGCACTCGACTCGAGCGTAACGTTCTCCCGTTGTATTTTCACATATTTACACCCTAGTCGTGCCTAAAGAAGGTTTATTTCAAAAACAATACTGATCTGATCATCACGATCCATATATCAAAAATAAATATTTATGTAAAAAAATTTTTTTTTTAGCAAAGTCCTGATTTTATATACAATATATAATGATTTTATATACAGTACATGTATATATATGTATAAAAGAAAATTTTAGACAATTCTAAAATGTCAAGATTTGGTTGCCGTGCGGTTTGTAAAAGAATGATCCATTTATTTTTGCAGTAAAATTTCATGGAAAATACACTGTGAAAAATTTATAGCGTACTTTAATAACACATATTGTCATCAAAGCATTACTTACGAACAAATCTGCATACAATCACATAATGTTTTGTGATTTTGTATTAGGAACACTAGTCATTATAAAATATATAATAATATAAAGCGATCTCTAAGAAAAAGAGGGCTGTAATATACTAAATGTTTAGAAATTGTTCACAGTTTTTGTGTTACAACAAAACGTCGAACGAATATAATTATAGAGCGACATGATGAGTGTCATAAGTATTTTATTTGTTGAGTTTGAAAAAGCTAATATGTATAAATGAACAGCATTCAGATCATGTATAATACACATGTAAAGTAATATTACAATAATTTTATACATTCCTGATAATACAAAATTTAAACGTCAGTATGCATTGTTAGATGTTTTATGTTATGTGATAGCTTTAATTATTTGGTTTAATAATAACATATTGCTTATTGGCCCAATGAAACTATATAGTTATAAGTTTTATATTAAATGTTTTGAAAAAAAAAAAACTCGATCTATATGGGAAAAATGTGACTCAGTATGAATTTTATTCATCCAGTATGACCATTTTTTGCAAGAAATTAATTTTTGTATCAATTAAATATTTGAATGTCCAGCTATTTGACCGCATTAGAAAATTTTTTTGAGCCATAATTAAAATGTACATATTTGGAATTCCTTAATATGTTAAAATCAGCATAAAACAGGATAGTGGGTCATACTAAATGTTAACAATAATACACATGTTTCTGCATTCTTTTATTATTAAATGCCATTGATCTTTTTAATTTAAATATTATTGAATACATACAAAACATTTTATTTTTGACTATAGAAAATTTCAGTAACGTTAATTTTTAAGTGTTCCTAATGTTGTGCTATAAAAAATTAAGATTTTATTAATTTAATACAAGTTTAAATTTATTATAAATATTTCATAAAAGTTTAGAACAGAATTTTATTAAATTTATTTATCAAGCCTATGAAAACAACATTTCAGACCTCATTTCTTATACCAAGTAGTAATTTATTTCTGTATACATATTTATTTTTGTGTGATAATTTCAAAATAAAATAAAACTATTTTATGATTAACAGAGACTATATTTGAATCTAATAATATGCCACTCCATATAGAACATTTTACATTGCAAGTGAAGGGATTATCTAAAAAAAGAATATATATTTATAACAAATTATTTATGTACACTTAAAACATATAATACTTTGAACAATGTTCGTTAAAACAAACACATAAAAGAAACAAATCATATGATTATATCATTGTTTCTTCCAGCATAATTATATACAATATATAACTAATTTTCTAGTACGACATTTTAGAACTTTCAACAAAGATATGTTCAACACAACAACAGACTATGTAAAAACTGTATACATATATAATGGAATATTTTTTGTATCATAATTAAATTGTAAATCTCATGATTTACTAAGCGTTGACATTAACAGTATTAGCAGCAGCTCCTTTAGTTTCACTGGTTTGGTCCTTCTCGAGTTGCTTGCCAAGGTATTCCCTAAAATTGTGAAAGGATGTTGAATAAAACCATTTTCGCAAGGTGAAGGAAACTCAGTTGACAAAGATCAAGATACTAATTTGGTAGAAGCTTTGAGAGGATAAACAGTTGTAGAAGTTGTGAAACAAATACTAAAATCTATTTACTGGTAAATAGCTTTTTTAAAATAATTTTATTAATTTTAAATAATTGTCAAGATATTTCAGAAAGCCAAAGATACCAATTTGATAAAAGATTCAAAAGAATGAAAAGAAGTTGTTGGACAAATACAATTTATCAACAGATACCAAAATCAATATACTGGTAAATAGTTTTCATGATTTATATAATATTTAATTTATCTTATGTTAGTAATATTGAAGTAGTTTTCAACTTACCAATTATGAACCATTAATTTCTGGACTGCCAACAAAGCTTCATATCTTACATTTGGTTCCTCATATGCCAATAATTGCATAACCAGTTGTTTGCCACCAAGCTGTTCGATGATACTGGAACAAAAACAGAACAATGTGAGTGTAAGAAGTCTTTTTTTCTAATACAATAAGTGATAGGTTTACTTTTTGCCACGTGGATAATGCCTGACGTACTCTCCAATATCAAAGCAGGCTACAGACAGAACAAGGGGATCACGAGAGCTTTCAAGTAAGTGGATCAATATACGCAATAACTCATAATTCTTCTCATTGAGACGTGGGGCATTCTCTCTCCAGAACTTAGCAGATTTGTGAACAGGTGACCATTCCAATCTAAAATGATAATATATAACATATAATAAATTAGATTATTCTTAAAACGATATACACAGCCAAATTATCTGCACTGACCTGCCGGACTTGATTTCTGTAGCATATTCATCAAATGAGCTAAGGTCTTGAATGGAAGCTTGTAATTTTTCGGTCAAATATTCAACATCAGCAACGATATCCTCATCATCTGAACGTCTTTGTTCCAGGATGGATAATTGTTTCAATACCTTGCTTTGCACCATTGCAATGCAATGCTCCTTGGCCACCTAAAAAAATTGAATGTATTTATTTATGAGTTTGTATAAATTATACTTCATTTTTCAGTACTACAATGTCAATACCTGTTGATCTTCCACTTTCTCAATTAAATTCCTATAAACAGCCAGTACAATTCTAGTAACCTTTTCCTTTGCGGAATCACTTAGAATATCAGCTAATATAGGAATGACATTGAATTTGTTCATTTTCTCTGCCAATAACGTGTTGAAGGTCAAAACCCACAAGCAGAATACCAATTGATATTGGATCTATTATAATAGAATCATTTGTTTTTTACTTTTGTAATTAATTATAATACCTGGTTCCAGTATATATTTACCTGGAAGTTGACTCTGCTAGTCAAAATAGTTAAAATAGTGCTGATTCCATCGACTTGCACAAAAGCAAATCTGTATTCATCAACTCTTAACATCATTTGTAAACAGCGTGCCACAGACTGAATATATTCAGTTGTCTATAAAATTATCAGTTTAGTTATTTCAATCATTAAAATACCCAAAAAAAAGTGTACATCTTCCCAGAATAAATACATTACTAACTTATGTTCACATTTCAACATTGGATGTAAAAATCATATACTAAATTATTCTAGTATTTTTATAATTGTATTCTTTTTTAAAGATTTATTAATACCGGTAGCTCCGAAACGGGGATTTCATCAATGCAGCTAGATATTTCAGTGTAGCTTTCCTTAATAGACTCCCAGCCCTTAAAGCCTTCAAATCTTGGAGATAATACCGGGTTGGCCGCAGCATATTGTTCAGCCTTTTGTGTTGCGATATATATTTTTTAAATATAATTCATATAAATATTATCTGGAGAGAACTAATTTCTACACATGGAACAATCATCTCAACAGAGGCTGCATCCAATTGTTTTGGATTGACATTTAATGCACAGACAAGTCGTCAGTGTTAGAGATTGAAAGCGATATACGTGGTACCCCGACTTACGAGTGACCTGACATACGAATGTTTCGAGATACGAGCCGCCCAAAGAGCGATTCATTGTTTCGACATACAGGAATAATTCGAGATACGAGTGAGTAGTAATTTAGTTGACATGTTAATTATGATAAAAATAATTTGGCAGTTTTATGATAGTAAATTATTAACCAGTTACTCATTTCAATTATATATTAATATCAATAGTGTAGTAACAATTTATCCACATGATTAATGTAAGATTTAAAACTTTGAATTTGCGTTTTTTTTTTGCTTTTTGTACTTTCACAAAATAGTATGTAACTGTGTGCTTAAAGAAAAGGGCTATGCTTCTTGAATTAAGTGTGAAATTATTGAAAAAATGAGGATGGCGATAATGTAGGAGTGTAACACATCATAGATATGTACTGTGTTCAAACAGAAGGTGTTTTATAAAGGGTATAACTCTAGCTACGAGAAAAATTGCTTCGAGATATGTGGAATGAATTAAACTCGTATGTCGGGTTACCACTGTACTAGTCTATAAGCCGATATACATTTTACTAAAGTTATCCGAACTAGTACAAAATATTTAATGAAAACCATCATTACACAACATTACACAATTATAGATCCAATGTTTGTTTTTCATTTCAAAATGTACAAAATATCACTAATAAATTTGTAATGAAATTCAGTAAAGAAGTTGTTCAAAATCTGTAATAATTGGTTAGAATGTTGTATATTGATGGTTTATGAATAATCGAACATGATCATTTATCTAAAATATCCCCATATATCAAAAACAAATTATACTACGTTATGCCATTCCCTAAAATGTGAGCTTATAGACTTTATATAATCTCAAAAATGACTATGGGGCACCTCTGTATTACAACAGTTGTAGCATGAGGAATATTATGCCTCAAACTTTTGTAATAGTATTGAACATAGCAGATCCTATTGAAAATATATTGATACCCGCAAAAGATTAGAGAAAATGAGATTTTTTTTGACTATTTATCAGTGTCCAATATGTCATAGAGATATTGACAGCTGCATCGAAATGAATATATGCCTTTTACATAAATTTGATTTGGCTTACATATGCGAAATAACCAATCACCACATTTATAAACATTGCGCGATAATAATTATTGTTAATTTACACTAATTTAATGTTTCTTCAAGCTCCTAGAAATGACCTGACTATCGCAAATTACTTACACAGACATCTGACTTACAAGTTAAAATGTTATTCATCATGTTGAATGTCATGAACACAAGTTAGTAAGTTATTTACAGTATACATTTATCAACCAACAAACCACATATTGCCCAAACAAATTATGTCTAGAAAAAAATTCCATTGTGCAATTTTATTATATATCAATAGTGGTTTGCTGGTTGATATAATTACTAATAGTACTATCATCACATATATGAATCCAAATATTCCAATAATAGAATCAATTTTTTTTGAAAATGCTTAATTTTTTTTTTAATTTCAAGTTTCCAAAATAATATTGATGTGTAAGGTGTATATCATTAATAGTTACATTATATCTGAGCTGGTCTTTAATCCAAGTCAAATAGAAGTTCAAATCAGATTCACTCATTTGTGTACTGGACCAACAAGCAATTTTAGCAATAATTCTTGCATCCATGTTAACAATGAAGCTGTCCTGACGATTCAATAAATTCATGAAAGGGCCCCATACACTTTCCTTGGTTTTAGCAGCATACTCATGGAAAATATCGACACGGTATCTATCCTCCTGAGGAAAGATGTATAAATGAAAACTTTAAAACTTATTTTAAAATATTTAGAATTAATATAAAATATATCTGGGTGTGGTAATTTTGAACTAAAGTTACAACCTTATATATTACACTTTATAAAACAAACCTGCAGCATGTCATCAATCAAAATTAAAACATATTGAATTGTTTGATCTTTGCTGACATGTGTTAGGATGTTCAAAAATGTTTTAGCTGCTTGAGTGCGATCTGTGAGAAGCCTTATGCGGCCCTTAGAATCAGTAGAGTCATAAGCACTTATGAAATTAAAGTCGTCTTGAGTGATCATTTGAGACCTATGACAAAATGTAATTAATGTACAAATTAAACTTTTGCGATACAATAATTTAGAAATTCACTTAAATATACAGAACAAAGAAAAAATAGACTTATGAATATTAGATTATGATTGTATAGTGATTTTCAAATAATTTAGATAATATTCACTCCAATAATATCTAAATTGGCAAGTTGAGATGTATAAATATTTCACTAAAACATAATATTCAGGTGGAACCTCATATCACAAAGCCAACAATTATTATTTCATGATATTCGGATACCCCTTGTCTTAAGAACTTGAGGCGTACTTACTGTAAGTATGATGTCCAGTTAATTTTTTGCTGACGGATATCCGCAGCATGTTGTTGTAATAAGCTGGTAGCAGCAATCATATCTATAATTTTTATATTTGTCATTATTAAAAATCGTTACATAAAGTTCTCACAAATGTTGCACCCAAAATCACTATTTTACCTATTTTGTCTTCAGGCAAAGAAGGAAAATCCTTTACTCCCGAATCTTGCCCCATGATTCTGTGATAATGTATATAACGTAACCGACTGGAAAATCAAACACAAATATTAAAAATACAAGATTTTCTAATATACTTTTAGCAGCAGACGAAGGACTAAGACTCAGCTGACATGTCTTGTGACATGAGAGGAGATAGTAAACATCGTATGAAAGAGATGGTGATATATTTTTTTCTTTCCTCATGTTGGTACAAGAACGTCAAATGTCAGACATTTACGCATCCAGTTCAAAAATATGTTAAAATTAATTCTATTTGCAATTATTTAATTATTTGTGCTTTAGTTAATTAAAGATAATGATGTTTTCGATTTTTGTGGTAAATACACAATGGTCAGGTCAATGTAGTGAAAACAAATCATTTAGGGAAATTAGTGCCAATTTTCGTTTGAGGTTAGCTGAATGATAACTGATAAAAGTTATATTTTTGAAATAAACATAAAAGAGCAATGAAATTGGCAAAATTAATAAATTAACTAGATTTGTTCATGTCATAGTGAATATTTAAAAATGCTACAGCAAAGAAGGATATTTATTATCAGAACATTTATTTTATATAATTAAGCATTTCGAAATAATGCTAGATACAAATGAGTGAGAACCTGAATTAACGAATTTTTAGTTTCAAAATATAAAGTGTTGCAATTATTGGTAAAGAATAAGTAATTGCTACTATTGAGTGATTTAACTTACCATTTGTTTTGACTTTCCTGTATTATTCTCCAACGTCCGAAAGCCAAAGACCACGCAGATTCCGGTGAATCCAGTATCCTATATCTACGACCACAGCATAGTCCCATCAAAGACAACAATTTATAACATAATTTGAACTACTGTGTCATGTTTTTCGGTCTTGTATTAATTTAATGTTTGTTTCTTTCAATTAATTTTTGTATCTCTCAAATAATTTTTGTATCTTTCAATTAATTTTTTCTTTTTTTATTGTGTGTCGTAATGTAATATTTTTTTGTTTTATATAGAGCATCTAGATTTGTTTAACATAATTTTTATTAAGTATATTAGTGTTTTTTTTTTTTTTTTGAAAATAAAGTTATGGAAATTAAAGCCCCTAAACGCAAAAGAACTAATGTAGAATTACAATTTCCGTTGCCTGGAATGTGTGTGCATCCTTTCACAAATGAAGTCACTTTAAGTGAAACATTTATTGGAGTTTTTAATGGATTTGGTGTGACAATTAAAAATGTAAATGCTGTAGACAATTTATATAACAATGGATTTTTTGGCAAGGGTTCATTATCTCGTTCACTGCCTCTAGAAATAAATAAAAACAAGAATGTTCCTAAAATTTTGAAACAGCGACAATACATTAGTCGTGAGACATTATTAAGCAATACAAATATTAGTTTTGGTGATAGAAATTTGGATAAGTTTATAGTTTTACCAGACAGTGATAATGAAGATATTGAAACTGATATTGAAGTTCTGAAATCTACTTATTCTGATTTACCTAGTTATATCAAACAAACTGAATCATATAGAGAATCCTATTTTTTATCATTGGAAGAAGCATTTTTTTTAACATTTGGAGTAGGTTGTTTGAAAATACAAAACGAATTAGGTGAATTGCTAACAACAGAACAAATTTGGAAATTATTCCTGAATACACAACCTGATTTTGTTCACAAATATATAGTATATCATTATTTTCGATCCAAAGAATGGGTAGTGAAGTCTGGATTAAAATATGGAAGTGATTTTCGTAAGTATTATTATAATTGGAAACATTTCATTATAACCGGTGCTTGTGCAAATTATAATTTTTTAAGTAAATTATTTTTAATTTTTATAGTTTTGTACAAAGATGGTCCAATATTTTATCATGCTAGTTATGCAGTTAAAATACAAGTTATTCAATCTCATGATGTAGAAAATAAATATGGTAAAGAATTAAATAAATATCAAATAAATGCAATCACAAGATTAGCAAATGCGTCAGGAAAGGTAATTTATAAAAGTTTAACGATCTGCTTTATCACATTTAAATTGTAAATTTTACCATTCTAGGAAGTACTGTTGGCACAAGTATTTTTTCCTGAAGATTTTGACAATGATTTAGACAAAATATGTGATGTTAAAGTCAATGAAGTGCATTTAAAGAAAATATTTTTGAAAGATATTTTGTGAAAGGAATCAACAAATAGTCTTATTTTTAGTCAAATATGTATAAATGTGTACGAACATACAAAGAAAAAATTGGCTTATTATGAAATCATAAAGTATGCAACATATATCAGTTAGAATTTAGACTAAAAATTAAATAACCAAATAAATGATATAAATCTATTACTTTTTCTATGCTAAATATACAAATTTAAATACATACATGAATGTAAGTTATAAACAAACATTCATCATTGATTTTTTAACATTTCAGCTTTTTGTTTCTGAGTTATTCCTGTTCTCCTGTATTCACTTCTTTCATTTAAATATTCTGTTGTACATTCTTGTTTGAATTCCTCATTTCTATACCAGTCGGTCAAGCAAGCTTTGAGTGCTTTATTCACATCTTGACATTTGAAGACCATGGCAAATGAAGCTGCTTTGCAGCATTTTTCAAATTCAGCTACTTCTTGAACACATTTTTCTTTTTTGGCCCTGTCACGCATTTTCTTTGGTATCATAACGTCAATTTCTACTTTCCTCAAAGTTTTATCTTCAGGGTCTCCTGCAATAATATATAAAAATAACATCAAATTTGCTTACAACTTGTTTAACTAAAAATGTACCTAAGCCCTTTGGGTTTCTGGGATTGATTTCGGCAGTTGTCATTTTACCCTAAAGTTTAATAAATATTATAGGATAAAATATTTAAAATATTGCTTAATTCGTGCGCATATTTCAACTGTCAGCTGTCGGCTGTCATGTGTATTTCTGAAGAAACAATCTACGGTTAAGCGCTCATTAGTGACTTAAGACACAGTTATTGAGTTTAGGCCACACACGGTATATTTTGTATCATAGTATAATTTATTTTACTAAATATTTGCTTTCATTTATATGAGATAAAAATAAGAAACGTACCATATGTTAATGTTAATGTTGCAATGTTATTATTGTAGTTTTCTATTTCATTTTATACATAATTATTTAAGGTCCGTTTTGATGCATACTCTTCTTTTATCTATGGATACATACATATAGGCGAAACCTGTGTCGAGATAAGTAATTATAATATGCTGTCGTTCGCATAATTTATTTAAAATCGTTTTCTTTTCGGCTATTTTCGGCATAATATGAGATTTTTTTTTAAGTGACAGAAGTTGCTAGTGATGTTTGACGCTTAATTTCTTCTGTGTGACCCGATGTTTACACATTCTGTGTTTAGCGAGTGAAGTTGTCGCTTCCGTTTGCTTTGTGTGATTTTGCAGTTTTTAATATACTTGTCATAAATCGCTATTTTTGTTTTGTGCAATTATATTTTTGCCATTAAAGCTTAGGTAAATGTTATAACATGTTCACATCAATATATAATTATTAAAAATTCTATAACCGCTATTGTTTTAATTGTTAATTAATTCAATTCAATATCATAAAAAATAACCTATGCGAAGTGTCAAACAAGCTAAACTGCTTTGTCATAATTACAGAATTTGAAGAAATATGGAACGACTTCTACGTTTAGGGGGTGGTTTTCACTCAGTAAATCCTCCTCCAGACCCTCCAGTTGTTGATACAGCTGAACAAGTTTATATATCTTCGTTGGCTTTATTAAAAATGTTGAAACATGGTAGAGCTGGTGTTCCTATGGAAGTTATGGGTCTTATGTTAGGTATTTTTGTTTCTGTTATTAATTTATGTTTTGTAAATCTTAATTCATATGGATACTATTTTATTATAAATATATTTCATTAATCACTAACTGTTTTAATGAACTAATTTGTTTAGGTGAATTTGTTGATGACTACACTGTGAGAGTAATCGACGTATTTGCCATGCCCCAAACTGGTACTGGTGTATCTGTTGAAGCTGTAGATCCAGTTTTTCAGGCAAAAATGTTGGATATGTTAAAACAAACTGGTCGCCCAGAAATGGTTGTTGGGTGGTACCATTCACATCCTGGTTTTGGGTGCTGGCTTTCGGGTAATTTAAAATTAAATTTTATTATGCATATACACAATGACTTGTATAAATAGTTTACAATTACAATATTTATTACAATTGTTAAATAATTCACATCTAGCAATAATGATAAATAATAACATAAATTTAAATTAATAAGAGTGTTAAAATTACACAAAATTGAGATAAGAGATGCAAACTTTAAAAAAACTGAATTTTATTGGTGTATAAGTTTGATTGTTTAAAATACCAAAACAAAAAGCATAATTGTTTTTAAACTTTATTTTTAATTAGTGTTTTTATATAATTAATAGTGTAAAATAATATTTTTGATACTTGTTTTGTTGCAATAATTTGCAATAATATTGAAATCATGAAATTTATTTGGTATTTAATACGTTAATATTTTTTGTTCAATGTGTTTGTTATTTATCATATTAAAAACTGATAAAAAGGGGTTTTTATAGTGATTTTTGTTTAGCAAGGTTTTTTCATAAAAATGAATTTTTCGAGTTACATGTTTTTTAGGAAATTTATCTTCTGTGTAAAATGGGCGATCGGTGTATACTGATTTGTTGGATCAACTTTGTCTATTTTTTAGTATTGTTTCAATTTAGAATATCATAAAATATTACTTTTTCTAGGTGTGGATATCAATACCCAACAATCCTTTGAGGCCCTCTCGGAAAGAGCAGTTGCTGTTGTTGTAGATCCTATACAATCAGTGAAAGGCAAAGTGGTTATTGATGCCTTTAGATTGATTCAGCCAAATCTCATGGTTTTAGGACAAGAGCCTCGACAAACAACATCTAATTTGGGGCATTTACAAAAACCTTCAGTTCAAGCATTGATACATGGGCTGAACCGACATTATTATTCAGTCAGCATTAATTACCGAAAGAATGAATTAGAGCAAAAGATGCTCTTGAATCTCCATAAGAAATCATGGATGGATGGTCTCACTCTAGCTGACTATAAAGAACATTGTAGTATAAATGAAAATATAGTTTCAGACATGTTGGAATTAGCTAAAAATTATAATAAAGCATTAGAAGATGAAGAGAAAATGACTCCAGAGCAACTAGCTATTAAGAATGTTGGAAAACAAGATCCCAAGAGGCATTTGGAAGAAAAAGTTGATGTTTTAATGACGAACAATATTGTGCAATGTTTGGGTGCTATGCTTGATACAGTTGTTTTTAAATAAGACTCCATAAAGCATTTTTGTCATAAACTTGTCTTTTAATTTATATTTTAATACTTTGAATTTCTAATTACTTTATCTTATATTTCAAATTTGCATATTTTCTAAGTTAATTCTATTTTGTAATAATTGTGTAAACCTAATAAATAATTTTATAATTTTTTTTAATTTGGTTTTGAAATTAATGTTGCAGGCATTCTCGATGAAGATCTTTTAATAAATTACTGATAATAAAAGTACTATGTTCAGTATACTAAAAATAACAAGAATTTAAAAGTTGCACTGTCTTCCTTACAAGACAGAATAGTCTACATTCACGAAGATTTAGAAATTTTCGTACCTGAGTGCAAAATTCAAAAGAGGCGCGCATTATAGTTTATAAAAACTATTGTTTTAGCTAGTTTTTTACAATTCTTTTTTTGTAATTGATTAATAAGGAATAATTTTCCTTTCTTCATAGAGGAATTAATTGAATGATTTCAAAAATAACATTTTGACCATAAGAAGCGTATTTTTTTGTATTTTGACTTGTTTTGATACATCGCATTAATCATCCAATATGGCAACCCCGTTACCTTGTTTATTAGACGATTGTTTTGAGGTTATGTGTCGGCGCCCGTTGCGTTCACGTTTCCTTAGCGACATTCTTGTTGTTTATTTTAATTGCATACATTAATTGCACAACGATATCAGGTTTTCTCAACACGAAAGAACCCTTATCAAAAATGGCTGTAAGTATTATAATTAAATAAATCATTAGGTAAAAATAACTAATGTTTTTTGTATATTCATAAAAATTGATGATTCTAGAGCGCCGCTGCTATGAAAGTGCAAGAAGTGCGCGAGGTAACGCGTATTGAACGAATTGGGGCTCATTCTCATATTCGTGGCCTAGGTTTAAATGATTGTCTTGAAGCTAGGACTGTTTCTCAGGGCATGGTCGGGCAGAAGACTGCTCGACGTGCTGCTGGCTTAATTGTACAGATGATTAAAGAAGGTACTTCATAGAATAAAATAGTAATATATTCTCCTTCTATGTCTTAAGCTTTTTAATATAATTCCAGTACTATATGTGCTTACAATATTCCACAAGTAAATCATGGAAATTGTATCACAGGCCTATTAAAACAGAATGTGTTTCATTTTACAGGTAAAATAGCTGGTAGAGCAGTTTTGCTTGCAGGTCAACCTGGCACAGGTAAAACTGCCATTGCCATGGCGATGGCACAATCTTTGGGACATGATACTCCATTCACTTGCATGGCTGGAAGCGAAATTTACTCATTGGAAATGAGCAAAACTGAAGCGATAACTCAAGCTATTCGCAAAAGTATTGGTGTCAGAATAAAGTATGTATAGATCTTCATATAACTATAAATTTTCAAGTACTAGGTATTAAATTAACACATTATTATAGAGAGGAGACTGAAATCATTGAAGGTGAAGTGGTTGAAATACAAATTGATAAACCAGCTACAGGTTCCGGAAGTAAGGTTTGTTTTCTAAATAATATACTGTATATAATAACTAATGTATAGTCATATTGATCATAATTTACATATAATATTTGTTAAATCATCATAATGATGTGAATTCTAACTATTTAATTTTAATAAATTTCTATTCTATTTTATTCTATCATTTTATTCTATCAGATGGGAAAATTGATTCTGAAAACAACAGAAATGGAAACAAACTATGATTTGGGCAATAAAATGATTGAAAGTTTGTTAAAAGAGAAAGTAGTGAGTGGGGATGTAATCACAATTGATAAAGCCACTGGTAAGATCAGCAAATTGGGCAGATCTTTTGCCAGGGCTCGTGATTATGATGCCACTGGAGCTCAAACTCGCTTCATCCAATGTCCTGAGGGTGAATTACAAAAACGCAAAGAAGTTGTTCATACTGTGACTTTGCATGAGGTCGATGTTATAAATAGTAGAACTCATGGATTTCTGGCTTTGTTCTCTGGAGATACTGGTGAGATCAAAACTGAGGTTCGTGAGCAAATAAATGGTAAGGTAGCCGAATGGAGAGAGGAAGGAAAAGCTGAGATTGTTCCAGGGGTTCTGTTCATTGATGAGGTAAATGCTGTTTAAGTTTTCTGAGTAGATTATTAGGGTTTTTACAAAAACCGACATTTTAGAAAACCGTTTTTTCAATAGTAATATTTTCAGAAGAAACCAATATATTTTGAACAGTTTTTGAACTTTTAAAATTGGTTAAAATTTGTGGGCTAAAATGTGGTAAAAAATCTACTTTTCTGTTAATTACAAAACAGATAAACGCTAGTTCTTTTTGAGTTTTATCAAATGGCATTTAAATTTTTGAAATTGATTCAGCCGTTTTTAAGAAAACACCGATGAAAGGTCGATGTTCGGCTCATACACATATATTCCCTTTACAAATTTGGTCTCATTTGACTCAAATGATTTGAAACATTAACAAAACATACATTTATACATTTGCATTACATTCATACAATTGGTAACCAATAATTTCTACCGGCTTTCAAATTTCATAATTTTTCAATTGACCAGTTTTTTAAAACTGACAAACTAGCAATTATGTTTGAATACAATATTAGTTGCAGTGTGCATTTTGATTGCTCTTAATATTGTTTTTTTATTATAAATATTTGTAACATTAATCTTTAATTTTAGGCTCATATGTTAGACATAGAATGTTTTTCATTCTTGAACAGAGCTTTAGAGAACGAGATGACACCTGTTGTAATAATGGCAACAAATAGAGGCATAACCAGAATTCGAGGAACAAATTATAGGAGCCCCCATGGAATTCCTATTGACTTATTAGATAGAATGATAATTGTGCCAACTAAACCCTATGTTGAAGATGAATTGATGGAGATTATAAAAATCAGGTAAATATAGGTTTTATGTCACAATTATAACTTATTACTTCTATTACATAAAATTTATATAAGATATTCAGAAACACATTGACATTCTCAAAAGACTAGTTAATTTTTAAAATGATGACTACAAAACTACATTTTAAAAGATTAAGTTTTTGGTTTCATAGCCGACAGCAGAATATTATGTCAATTAATTCTAATCTAACTAAATATGATAAAAAAATCATTCAAGTGTAAAATGCAAATCTTAGTAAACTACACCACGAAGTAAATTTGATCTGTTTCTTCTCATCACTTGTAATCATTCTGATGACAGAAATTACTAGAACTTCATTGATGTCCAATGTTTTATTAAATTATAGCAGTGGTGCACAACAATAAATATACTAACTGACCTTGCAAATATTGTTTAAATCTTAGTTGCAAATATTGCTAGAAAAATTTTATGTAATTGTATGTAAGTGAAATTTGTGTATAACACAAATGAGTTTGGATTAGATGTTTGAGTTTTACTATTTTAGAATTGTATTTGTGCATTTGAACAAAATATCAATTATACTTATTTCATTTTGAACATACAGATGTGAAGAAGAAGATTGCCAAATGTCTGCTGATGCTATGACCGTTTTGACCAGAATAGCAATGGAAACGTCTTTGCGTTACGCAATTCAACTAATTACAACAGCTGGGCTAGTTTGTCGCAAACGTAAATCTGTTGAGGTAATTTATAAACAATTTGAAAAATTATTATATGTATTTTATGTGCTAATGCAGCAGGTTATTTTATTATTTTATTATTATTTTAGCTTATTATGTAGTATTTTGTTATTTTTTAATTTTCTGAAGTGCTGAAAAACTAATGAAATATATTCTACATATTCTTTGCTAACTTAATAGTAAAATATAGCTAATTTTTAGCTTTTAAGCTTTCGGTCTTTAAACCTTTGTTTTTTTATTTTTTGTTTATTATTTTTATGATCGGCTTATTTATGTTTGAAGCACTGTCTCTGTAGGTCTTGGTAGATAAAACATGTTTAAATTTTTATGCATTTAAGTTCTTAAATCTTAAAATCGTTTCATAATGTGATAGTTAAATAAATAGAACGAAAATATTTAAGGTTTCTATGGATGATATTAAAAGAGTGTATTCCCTGTTTTTGGATGAACATCGATCATCACAGTTTTTGAAAGAATATCAAGCTGAGTATATGTTTAGTGAGAACGGTAAGTAGAAATTTTTATAATTTGGCATCATCTATTTAATTAGTTCAATCATATATGTTATATAAATTTGTTTTTGTTTTTAGCAGATGATCCTCTTATGGAAACTGATGACTAATTTTTCCTCCACGAGTTTCTAATTCTTTTTATCTATAATTGATGTATAAGTTTATTATCTTTGTTTACTATGAAATAGAATGAATGATGTAATGGATATTAATGTCTCTCATGAAAGAATAAAAATATAAGTATTTTAAGTTATTTTTATTATTTTATTATTAAACAAGCGTATATAATTAATATATAATTTCTACAAACACTTTTATATAAAAACTTTGTCAATAAATTAGTGCATACTTATATATTATATATAATTTTATTTAAATTATGAAACTATGCAGTATGAGCAGTCAAGAAATAGATTTTTCCAACTGGGAAGGAATTTTTAGATAAAACAGTATTCCTTAAGGGGTGGTGTACTGGTCTAGAATTAAAAAAAAAAAACGATTTTGTTTTTTTTTGCAATTTGAAAAGCTTTTCAAGAATATGTGTACTTTTGTTTCTTTTCTGTGCGAAACTTTAAACGCGTTTTTCTCGAAACTGTCTTATTCGATACACCATTCACATGTATATACGGATCTAGACCAGAATTCCCCCTTAAGCACAGATTTTAAGATTTTTTCTTCATATTATTTTTCACTTTTTATTTAGATTTAGGTACATTTTTTAGGGTAAAACATGTTATCTAAGACGTCAAAGATATTATCAGGTTCTAATTATAGACTTCTATGTTTTTAGTAAAACTTGACTGCCCATGTTGCATATCAACAAATGATTAACAAATAATCCAGGTACCATGTATTAGAATTTTGGTATTAGTTAAGCTTTCAACTGGTTTTATCAGTTTTAGTTTTCTTCAGCCTTCCTCAGCGCCTGATAAGCGGCTTTCTTTGATTGCACTGAAATAAAAGATACATATATATTGAAAACAATTATTTTTTAAATTCAAAAACTGATTCAATGAAGTGCTAAAAGTCGATGACTACAAGGTAAATCCATTACTTTTTAATTTTAAAGCTAATTATAAAGTAAATAAAATGAATTATTTCACATAATTCTCTTAAATTAGCACTTGTATTATTTAGCAATAGACATGCGTTACCTGTGATGAGTTTATACGGTTCATCAGCCTTATGCATTTTCATGAAGTATTGTTTTAGCGGGAACATCATGCTAAATTTTGATTTTATTGTTTTATCATCAGCACTCTCGACATTTTCAATGTTTGTGTGGATGTTATATTCTGGTACAGGTATTACAGTAGATGATACTGCAATCATGTCTGAAATATTATAAAATCCCACATCTGTTATGTCCACTGATGTAAAATATCATTTTATAACAAAGTATGTAATGATATCACGTGGATTGATCTAAAAAAAATACTATTTGCTTCAAAACTTTTTTAATATTTTGAATGCTTATCGATCAATTTTCTTTTGTATGATCATGAATGACTATAGTCAATCGAAAAATTATTATAATATATATATTATACTTTTGATTAATAATTGTCCTTGTGATTAAGATCAAAACGAACATCATTTTAAAATTTCACATTCATTAATGATTCAATGAAAATGACTCTAAATTAAAATATTATAGGGGGTTCATAGGCAATTTTGAATTTTAAGAACTTAAAACTTAAAATATTCATTTATTGCATTAAAATTAAACAAAACCAGGCTAATTGCATGATCTTTCTAATATGTGTAAATTATCAACTTAATCGATAAGAATTGAAATTATGCAACTTTTGATTGTGATTATTCCACATTTTAATGATTTTTAGATATAATTTACGTTGAAATATTCTATTTTGGGATGTTCATTTAGGTTATGGACTTCATCAATATGCAAAGATTCAATGAAATTGTTAAATCTTTTTTTTTTTCAATAATTGCAAAGAAACGGCCCGGTTGATGCTCGTGTTTACCAATAACAAATCGGCATAATTCCCAAATGATATCTTTCAAACGGATTTTGAATGTTTTAAAATCAGGTGAGGCCTTCTGGTGAAAACCTTGATTTAAAAGTTTTGCACTTATTTGCTTATTATAAAGAAACGTCTAGGACGATCGACGCTCAAAACTAATCAACGTCCTTACAGAATTTTATCAAATGACCTTTCAAAATTTGAACTCGGTGCAACTGTTTTTGAAAAAACATAGGCGTAAGGTCAAATTTTAGCACACATACACAGACACATATTATTTTCTAATTTTGATGACTTAAAATATCAGAATGACTTGAAACATCGAAAAATATAAAATTAGCAAATCGGATTCCGTTGTAAAAACACAAACTTCTTCTTTGATAAGTTGATAATTTCGATTCACACTTAATTACTGTTTAATTTATACATTGCTGATGTTTTATTTAATGAATATCCATAACAATACCAGGTTCTAGGTGATCATACTGATTTCTCTTGTAAACTGTCGGATGGCAGTTAACTATTGCCGCAAACAGAACCACACAAATAAACACACTTCTCGTTATCATGATTCGTTTATAATTAATTAATAAATCAGTGTACCGTTTTATTCATAAAACAATAATGAAATATGTTATTTTTTCGTTTCGTGACTTTGTTGTGATTCAGAAAGTCCGCTACTAAAAATTAAATCATTCATCTCTTACGAGGTGTTCATTTGTACCATGCGCGTATTCGATTGTTCTTATTGAAAAAATAAATGTTTCTAATTAACATGCTAATATGTTTTGCAAATTTATTAATGTGCAGACTTATGAAAAAATATTGTGTTTATTAATTTTATTTATATACTTACATATTAAGTTGCCGAAGGAGAGGTTTATGTTTTAACCAGAAAATCCGGCTTGATAATTTTATTTTTATTAATTCATTCTAGTTTGCTTGACACCAAATTGGGAAAAGTATGTGTGTGTATGTGAATGTATGCTAAAATTTGAATTTTTCTCGACGTTTTTCCAAAAACGGTTTCACAGATTTCAAAAAAGCCATGTGGTCAAATTTGATAAGGAGTAGCTTTGACTAGTTTTGTGCGACGATCGATCAAACGCCTTTTTTTAGAATTAGCAAAAAAGAGCAAATTTTTTCGTCAATGTTTTCAAAAAAATTCTAAACCGATTTTAAAAGTTTATAAACTGATGAAAAGATTTCAGTTGGAAATCGTGCTGATTGGTTTTTGGTAAAAATGAGCTAGACCTTTTCTTTGTAATATTAAATGATCTCTTTGGCATTTTTAATGTAACTTAACCCTTTTCACTCGCGAATTTCGAGATCTATACGATTTTTGCGCCGGAACGGCGGCATTCGAGTAGAAAGGGTTAAAATAGAGATAGAGATTGTGGTCCTCAAAGAACATCCTAAAATATTATAGTCCTACCAAATGTGGTTGAATGATATAAATCCTGTTGCTATTAGGACATACAAGTACGCGTTTGAGCTTTATAATTAATACAGTTACAGATATTACAAGTCTATTCGAAAAATAGCAGTTGAAAATCGCATTGATTAGATTTTAGAGAATGATAAACTTTATAAATTTTTGATACTTCTAGCAAAGTTATGGATTTAGTCATATAATTATTAAGATATGAGATCAGTCATATGATTTTTAAGCAAATGATCTGATAAACTGTTAATTTATATCTTAGTACATTGAGTACATTGGAGTACATATAGAATTATGGTGGCAGCGGTGGGATCATTAATCGTTATTTAAATACACGTACATATTATATATTAAAATTTTACACACAATTGAAATTATATAATCAGGATTTTTTTATCAAAAGTTTTCTATTTAATTCTTTATCAAAAAATATATCTGCAGACTCTACTTATATACCATTACATATTCCATTACAAATTATGTGATTTTTCTTCTATGCTTCGATTACAAAGCTTAGCTATAAAATAAAAATTTAATAACGAATTATGAACGAATCATCTTCATATTTTTGTTTAATTTTTTATGAGGCTACGACACTGTTTTATCGCTTTGCACGTTTCCCGTATAAGGAGAAAGTTCTTCTGTTCTCAATGCCGACAAGGTTTCGCGTCAGACTTAAAGATCTTAAAACAATTATACTTGAATATACGCAAATAATCAAATGCCATCAACACCAACACACAACGGAATTTACCATCACTTCTCAACTCAAATGCATATTGCTAATCGTAAGGTGTAATGGTCACTATTTTATTCAAAACGTTTTAAACGGTTTCATCGTTGTTCTGCATTTAAATCTTCTGACGATTGGATATTGAGAATATTATTTAGAGAGCTTCCATAAATTACTTTTTATACTTATTTGTTTTCTTTAATCTTTGTCACTAGATTGTTGCAGTATTATCAACTTATAACTAACCAAATTATTAACTTTCCGAAGGAGAAGTTTGTTTCCAAAAAAAATATCCGTTTCGCTAATTTTAAGTTTTCTCGACGTTTCAAGCCATTCTGAATCGAGTGAGACCAAATTTGTCGTGTGTGTGTGTGCACATAATTTTTGCCGTATATCGACGTTTTCTGAAAAACGGCTGGATCGATTTCAAAAATTTAAAAGGCGATGTATCTTGATGAGGACTAGCGTTTATCAATTTTGCGGGACGATAATGTACTAAATGCTAATGTAATGAAATGCTGTTTCTTTGTGAATCGCAGAAAATTGAAAAAAAAATTCGTCCGCGTTTCAGTCTGCAATTCTAATCGATTTTGAAAATTCGAAAACCGTTCGAAAGATACTGGTTGGGAATCGACCTGATTAGTTTTTGATAAAGATCGGCCAGGTCGTTTTCTTGTAATAAAGTATTAAAAATATATTTTTTTCGACGATTTTTATGAATTTTTCTTTCACGGTAGATACCATAGTCTTATTATAGATCATACTGAAATATTACGGTCCTACATCGATTTAGAACATTTCATATTGATATTAATCTTTCAATTATTTTTTGTGTGAATGCATCATATTGGAAATAAAAAAGTAGAATTATTATACAGAAGTAAATAATTTTTTCAAAAAATTATTGACATACCTGTTTCAATCAATGTTTACCATCTCTGGGTCTTCTAATGTAATATTTAACGATCGCTTCGTTAAGTACAAACAACATATATCATATAACAACATCACTAATACTAATAATGAATATGAATTAATATTGAAATTCAAAAATTTGCGCAATGTTTGATATTTATACTTGTTGGCGTATATGGTGAGGTCAACAACCGCTCAAGTTGCAAATATTTTTTTTAAATATTGAATGTTCTGACCGGATTCGTTTACTTAGTTTGGTAACAACAAGATTGTTTGAATGGCTGAGAAATATCTGAATTGTGTTACAGGATGCCAGAAATCGTGATGCAAACAATTGCGAAAGCAAAACACATTTTTATTTATCAATATTATAGGATAGAAGATTATGTCTTCTTATTACGATTTTTGTAATAATGCGAATATTTTATTGATGCAGTAATTTTGGATAAAGGCTATTTTCACATAGAAATATATTGCTACTTATATTTCCTAGTGAAAACCATTCTCACTACTGCTGGACATCAGGCTCCTCGAAGCGAGATCGACAGCAGGACCTCTGATTCAGGTTCAGTCGCTCTAGTTACTTACCAAGGAGTGAAACCCACGAATTTTTTAAATATATTTTTTGTGAAGTGAAATAAGTTCAGAATTTTTTCATAACAGATAAGTTTTATTTTATATTTCATCATTTATATTATATCATTTTTTTTCAGCTAAGATCTTTGCATTGCATTGGAAATTGCCATCTCATCAACACACCAGCATTCATTTGGATTTTTTGTACATTGTTTTGGTTCAAATTTCCATTTTTTGGCACAAAGGTAACTCGGGTTTATTTGCTGAATTTGATGTGCTCAATAAATTTTTGTCCGTGCACATTTCTGAAAAAAAAAACAAATAAACAATATTCCTTATTTTATCAGGATTGCAATAAATATACAGTATATACAGTTCTTATAAAATTAAATAAAATAAAAATTTAAAATAATAAATAATATTTTGGTACCAAAACAGGTGGTGGAAGGTATTAATATGATACTAAATAGAGAAGAATTGTATTAATTAGTGCATGTAAAATAACCATTGAAACTAAGTCAAATAATTATGTGACAAGATATTTTTACTTACTGCAGTCATCTTTGTTAGCTTCAGGTGTATTTATTTGCTTCGTATTTCTCTATTTGATTTCCATACTATCCACGCAAATTTTCCTGAAGAAAAAATAATGTCACAATGGTAACACATGGATTTGATTATCTGAACGAGAGTAATATAACTATAATTTTTTAAAAGTATCATGAATATTTTTCTTCCATAAATAAGAAAACCCTTTTGCTACGAGTGCTGGCTAAAATATTTACCTAATAGTTACATGGAATACCACGAAAAATTACCAGG